TTAGACAAACATGTTTACATCAAATAAACCTCTGGTCCTTGGTCTCAGTAGTGGGCGCCAATGAGACAATCAGAGCAAACATAAAGGAAACCTATTCAAATGTGAGGACTTACTGCAGCGGGGAATGGAGCAGAAGTCCCACCGTTTGGATGTGCTGGTGGTGAAGCACCAAGGTCGGGACTCTCCGTCAGGGTTTCTACAGTAGTTCTCTTCAAGATACTTATCTGGAAGACTAGGGAACACAAAAATGAACTCTTTTAGCTGCTAGAAAAAAATTGTCTATGAAATTCTGCTTACAGTATTTATAAATTCAAGTGTGGCCTATGTGGTCTTACGCGCTGGGAATGAAGCCATGGTTCTGAGGTTCCTGGGAGTCCCAGCGTTGGCAGGTGAGGCCGTTTTGAGTGGTGGAGATTTTTCCTCTGTAGCTCTCACCACTGCAGTGTATACACTCCTCTGTGAAAGAGCGAGACAACAGATTATTGTATAGTCTGTCTTGGCATCATGTGAGCATGTATACACACAGAAATGTTCTATGTAAGATATACAGGGGGCCATTAGTGCTGTGACCCTGTTCAGGATTAAGTGGTATTAGATAATGGATGGATGGAAGATATAGGGGGTTGGATACTATTACCAATTCTGTATCCATCTCCTGAAAGAGGTCAAAACAATGGAAATGTTTTAAAAGAAAAAACAATATCCAGCATAATACCTCAGTCTACTTCCTTCCAAAAGTTACAGCTGATTTTGAATCAGTACCTAACATCACAGTCTTAACCAAGAATTTAACACATGAGCTTTACAAAGACAAACTCCTTACAAAGGCTCCTACAGGTTTGCCCGCCCATGTATTTTCTTATGCACTAGCCATTTACTGTACAGAGTTTCTCCCTAGTCATGGGATTTCTGGAATATCATAGATACTGGGGAGGTTTTATTCAGTGTTACATGCAGTGTTTCACAGGGTCTTACAGGTCCACAACAGCAACAGTCCAACCCAGATCAGACTCTCTGAGAAGACAAGGAAAGACTCCCTAAAAAGTTGATGACATAATTAGCACTAAACACAAAGGACAGCTAAGGCTGACTGGGAATATCATAAGTTCTGTAGACAAGCTCTTTGGGCAGACAAATTAAAAGGTGCTACATGAAAAGTCATAGAATCACCAGCATTATCATCCTGTGAAAGACATAAATGTTCACATTAAATTTCAAAGCGATCCATCTGATAGTGGTTGGAACATACTGTATCATCCAAAAGATGAAAAGTCTGGCATCACCAATATCACACACAACAAACAAAATGATAAACACCCAAGATAGATCCAACTTACCAGTGCAGCTGGGTACACCACAGTGCTCCCAGCGGGTGTCAGGGTCGGTGGTGTAACACCAGGGTCCCCCACTGTCTGCGTCCGGGTTTCTGCAGAAGTTAGACTCCAGGTCTGCAAAGGGGTTGGTCTGCGGTGTGACGCTGCACACAGACAGAAAGAAAAATTACATGGAAAGGATCTGACGTGATGTAAGATAAGATGATTATAACATGTGGATACATACTTTGGCTTGTGTGGGTATCTTGCTTCCCATCTCTGACATATCTTTCCTGATTTTGTTTTGGTCTTTGTTCCTCTGTAATCTGTTCCTATTCCATTCACACACTCCAAGAGGTATTCTAGACAAGACACCAGAGGACACCTTCACTATCACATGTCTGGTCACTCAGTAAAATGAACCTGCTGCAGTTGGAAAGCTTGTTGCACAGTGCACTGAAGAGCACAATAATCTACATTATTATCTGGTAAACATACATACTAGACAATTCTCTGCATAAATCATTTATCGGTTTCATCCCCCGACAGTAGTGTTTAACTTCCAGTCCCTCTCTACACAGTCCAAACATCACTGATAATGTAACATGTGCTAACCATTAACCACAATGTAATGAAACCAAAAATATGATGTAAAATCTAAAGTGGAGCAGTGCATGCTCTCTTGTAGACCTTTCATTATGAGTCACAACACGATACTTTAAACTAAGTTCTCGCACACTGTGTTGTCTTTTTGCAGGTGCATAGGATCAAGTGAGTGACTCACCTGTTTTTTCATACAAGGCTGTGTTGCCTCTGCGCATGACCAAGTCTGATTTAGAGTTTGCTGCTGCTGTCAAGCACTCTTGGTCCTTCTCATTGTACATGAAAGACCTGCAAAAACAGCCTCGGTCACACCAGGACGCTGCGCCTTAAATGTAAGAGTTAAACTGCAGTGTAAGTGTAAATGTAAAAGCTGGGTTATAACAACTTACCTGCATGTGAAGGATATTTCACTATTACATTTGGCGGCACACTCGGCCGCAGTGTTTATCGTATACCGTTGTCTCTGCAGCGTGAGGATCCATGCCCCTTCAGTTTTGGTGTAGCCGTCCACTTCGGTACTACTAACTGCAACAGATAAATAATCAGTTTAAGGCACAGAACATCCATCTTCCTTCATAAACCCCATTAATGTTATATGTTTCACTATTACATTTTGCGGCACACTCGGCCGCAGTGTTTATCATATACGGTTGTCTCTGCAGCGTGAGGATCCGTGCCCCTTCAGTTTTGGTGTAGCCGTCCACTTCGGTACTACTAACTGCAACAGATATATAATCAGTTTTCAAAGGCACAGAACATCCATCTTCCTTCATAAACCCCATTAATGTTATATAAGCTCAATTTTGAGTTTTATATTTTAAGCATTAAGGAAAGGTACATTTCAATAAACACCGATGCATTTGTAAATTTTTATAAAAAATGAGAATAACATGTTCTGCCATTTTAAACATAATCTCGATCAGACAGCCTCATACCAACAGGGAATGTGAAACATTTATCCATTTAAAAATAGCAAATATGAAGTAATGAAGCAAAAATAAGCAAGTAACTATAAGAGATAAATGTTAATGATAATAGTGAGACAAATTATCAATAGAACATTTTTAACGAGTTAAGTAGAAAGAAGGTGACATGTAAATACATACATGCATTTGTAAAAAAACAAGAGTTAAGTAGAAAGAAGGTGACATGTACACCAATATGTATGTATACTCGTGTGTATACATGCACTATGTTTACAGTTACATGTAAGCTGCAAATAAACTGTTATTCTTTTTTTTGATAATGTAAACTTTGTTTAGTCATTTGATCTGATACACTTATACTAAAAGCCTGAGGTAAAACTAAATTCAATCCTAAACTATAGTATAAACAGTAGATTCAACAACATGTGAGCCTCATTAAGTTCTGATGTAGTTTATTGATTTATTGCTGGATTTAAAATCATAACTGCATTGATACATGGATCAAAACCTGACTGATGAACACAGGGGAATGCTGTCCTGATGAGGTGCTTTCACCTGCTGTCATAAGTTTTATTTTTTGGCATTTATTTGATAACAGACTTATTCACAGGTATTATTCAAAGATGACACTATCTTACCGGTGCAGATCAGGGCTCCCAGGAAGCAAGCTGCTTTGTACAGGTCCATGGTGAGGCCCCTACACTAGCAGCTCCTACTCGACTAACTCGGACAGGCACCTCCTGGTATATTACTGGGTTCCTTTTAGCATGCGGGGAAGACAAACAGGACAATTCAATCATTAGTCAATCATTGGCTTGACAAGGACAGCAAACGAGCAACAGTTCAAAATCCTTGTTTATATGAGTGTTGCACTGCAGTGCCCCAAACATCTGCACTGTCCATTATGTGTTGGATACTATTAAATATTTTTGGTTGTTTAATTCTTACCTTCTTCCAGTTGTGGAACACCATCAGATGGAGAGCAGGAGAAGTGGGAGGTTCTTCTTCTTCTGTAGCGAGAAACACTGTGCTTTAGTTGTTCTGTTGCTTTTCTGCAGCTAAACTAGATTTAGGAAACTGCTTCCAAGCTTTGACCTCGTTCTGATGTCACATGGCCTCTTGTGTGGGTTTTTTTTTTTTTTTAATCAACATGCCAATTCATGTACATTCATCTTCAGTATGCTTCTATGTCCTGTACAGTGGTGACCCAAGTAAATGGCTGCTTAATAAGGGGTATCTTTAATCATAGTGCATGTCTCTGTCTAGTAATGTCATAATGTATTACAGACTTGGAGAATACTATGTGATTTAAATCAAATTAGATCAATATATGTAGTTAATCTTCAGCTAAAAGAGACCAATGTTCTCAACTGCAAACACATGATTACAAAATAACCTACTTTAGACTGACTGCTATAATCCTCAACTTCAAACACATGATTACATAATAACCTACTTTAGACTGACTGCTATAACACTCAGTTAAATTGTGCCACTGTCGTTCAGTCAAAATTACAACTACATTAATGATTATTTTCTAAACAGTGTAATCAAAGACACTAATATGCTTCTTTAACAAAATTACACATGAAGTTATTAAATATCAAAAGCAAGTTAAAAAGCTGAACTTTAAAGTAAAATAAGACCTAAAACACCTCTACTTTGTCTTTTGTTTGATAGTTTTTTCTCCACTAAAAGTTACCTGGTTAACATTATTGAAATTACACTACTCATTCTTTTGGATGGCTGCTCAGACAAAACAAGACATTTGAATGCATTACCTCAGGTTTTAGGAAACTCTGATGGGTATATTTCACAAACAAATAAATCCAGTAGCTGGAAAAGTATTCGTTAGTTGAAGGCCTGATCCATTAAGTATATTTACTCAAGTGTCAAGGTAAAGCTTTGACATACTTGTGCTGGTTTCTAAATCAAATCAAATCAAATCAAAGTACTTGTACTTGAATATTTCCATTTGATGTCTGTTTTCTACTGCACTATATTTATTTAACACAATGATCTAATATATCTACGTAATAATACATAAAGTATCTAAAAATTGAACAGCATTAAAAGTCTTTTTAAATTTGTCTGTGATAAAATATGAAAGAATCCATCCTGCAAAATGAGCATGATAATACTTCTGCAGTAACATTTTGAATTAGGAACTTCTAACTGTACCTCAGGAGTTTTAGACTATGATACTTCTACTTTTGCTCAAGTATCCGAGAACAACTTCTACTGTCTTTGAGTAAAACTGTACGAATGTTCTGTCACATCTGTTTGCTTGTTGTGCTGTACCTGGCTCCCACAGTGAATTAACCACAGTACCCACATATCAAATGAGAATCTGTGTAATACTCGATGACGGCCTGCAGAGGGCGCGATTGATCTCCAACTTAACACCAATTCAGTTAGAATAGAATAGTTAACAAAAGACGTCACTGTTGTTGCAAATGAACAGAAAGTGATCACAACTGATGAACTGCTGAAGTGTCAGTGGCGGGAAGCACGAGTGATGATGATATTCACCATTAGAATAAACTAAATGTGTTGGTGAAATGGGTCACAGTAATGAAAGGCTGTCACACAGCACGGTATGATGTGAGTAAATCTGATGGGGCACATGGTTCAAGGGATTCAGGAGTACAGTCAGTTGTACAGTACAGCCTTGTTAGCATGTTAATGTTAGCATTTAGCCCAAAGCCTCACAGAGCTGTTTGTGTGATATGAAACCTTAAAGACACCTCAGCCTTCTCTAGGTTGTTACCTTTGTAAACAGGTGCATGGCAGTTTGTATGCCACAGAATTAACTCTACACTGATAAATCGCATCACAGCTCTTTGCAGAGACGAGTCAAGGTTCTAATGAGAATTGTAAATGATAGTTTTCACATTTTAAAATGTTGTGTTCAGAAGTAATTGGCAGCTGAACAAGTCAGACCTGGGACAAAAAGGCAGCACAGCTTAACTGAAAAGAAAGACCAGACCAGGGATTCTTCAATGTGACTAAAGAAAGAATCCATTTAGTCCAACTACTGTGATCACCAAGCGGCATCATTACATAGCTAAGCTGATGCCACAAAGTGACTTAGATCAATATTCGTTTGTGCATCCACTCGCTTTAATCTGCAACCCTACCTTGGCCTCCCTGTCCCAGAATGGTCTGCAATATATAATTAGTTCCTAAGTAGCTTTAAATTCAGGCTAGACCATTTAACTGACTATAAAACCCTTCAATGGGCTTTTAATGGCCTCTTCAGCTTAAGTAACATTTGTAGTAATAAATGATAAATTAATGAACTGCACATTTCCTTGTCCCTTTTCTTAACAAAAGCAGAGATCATCTTTTTTTCTGTGAAGCTCCTGCTTTCAGCTTTAACAACACATCTTATTGTTTCACTGAGAGACTGAAGTAAGTATCAGCGTTGTTCTATGTTCCTCCGAGCTGAAGGTCAGTTTCCTCCATGAAGTGGGACCGCAACAATAGTTCACACAGACATGGTGAACGAGAGGTGTGGGCTCTGCGGCGTCCAAGGTTCGCTCTGCTCAATCAATATCCCACTGTCAGACCTCAAATTAGAAATGTCCCTCTCTTCTTAAAAAGGGGAAATGGTTTCTTTCTGTGGCTACATCTCTCAGGAGTTCATGTCATGAAGCCAAATTAAAAATCCTTAATTTATTGATGCACAATATCTTACAGCTGGATGCCTTTCTAATGTGTGCACACTGGTCGTTATGCTGCCATTCCAACTCCTTAAAGAACAAGATAAACCTCAGCATCCCCTGAATATATTATGAGCTGTACTAATACAGACCCCACAGGGACCAGATTAACCGGTGACCACATACTGCATAAATAGTTTTATTCAGGAAAGGATTACAGAACACATTTGCTCTTTTTTCTTTCCTTTCCTGCTCATTTTTGCACACATTTTTTAAAGGTTAGTAGGTTTTATAAACCATGTCAAACCAAAATCCATGAAAACTTCAATTAATAAAACTGAAATTATAACAAATTTGAATTCAAAAATTACATTTTAGTCAAAACCAGTCAAAGAAAAGCAGTTATGTCACTTAAAAGTGCAATAGCTGAGAGAGCTCAACACGCTGCCACATACACCTGCGCTGACCAACTCTTTGGCCATTTGAGGACAGTGGAGCTGCCTGTAAACAGCGTCACCTTATTAAGCTGATGTGGGGAACAAGCAGTTGCTTATAAACACATCCGGCAAACAGAGAGCAGCATTATCATTCATTTAGAGTCTGGCCATTTAATGAATGAGGGTCCAGTATTCACTGTTTTAATCGTTTCTGGTTTGATCTGATTCTTTGGCTCAGTGTTCACTAGCTAATAGCTAATCATTACATTTGACCATCTACCATTTGAATATACAGTAGAATATATTTTACAGAAATTAGCTGCGTCCTGCAAATGGAAACTTGAGCCAAAACAGTAAAGTTTTGCCCTGCAAACAATGAGCTGAACTACTCAAAAGAGCTGCAGGAGAAGGCTGAGTTAATTCATAAAGGGTTTGTTACAGCACCTTTCACATCACACAGCTGTTTAATCTACTTAATATAAAACCTACTGGTTAGATCAGCTTTAAAGGACACTCAAACTTCTGAAGTGTGGTCAATATGTTCATCAGTTTTCCTCAGACATTTCTCTTGTCTGCATTTGCAACACTTTTTATGTCACTTTATCCTGTTTTGCTTTTGTTTTACTTGCAGCTTTTTATTGTGCTGCCCAGGAGTGTTCACAGTGACAAGGACCTTCATTCATTTGCCTGTTTTCCTGCACTGCAGTGTGATGAGCTCCGTCTGCCACATGAAAATTTAATAGACAACAACAATCATAATACTACCACTTTATCAACTGTTGGTCCAAGAACAAGCACACTGTTTTCACCACCTGGGCACGTAATCAATTGAGCTTTTCCATTTCTTTTTCCCAGACCAACAACCGATCAAGTCCCAGAAACATATCATGGTCATTTTGTATTATGGTCAAGAAAAAACTCATTTATTGCTCTTTCAAAATGTCTTCCCTTTGTGTGTTTTCAATTACAGCATCATTGGACAGAAGGTCCCAGCAGACAGACGCAGAATGACGCTACATTACAGCCCACTATCATAAACTGCACAACACTTAAAAAAAAAAAAAAAAAAAAAACATTGTTCCTTAAATTGAGTGCATTTTTCCTTTGATTAAAACATTGCTGAAGTGACTTGACCTTGACTGGACCATTGTAGAGCACCGTGGTTTTGAAGGATGTGTGATTAAACACAAGGCTCTAAAGCTACACACAGTACAGGTATTTTATCCTCCACCATGGATTTTACAACTGTTGCACATGGACGTGAAAGACGCAGTGAAGCCGTGCCGTCAGCCCTGCGCACCCCATATCTCCTTCGTGTTTTGTCTGCTGGATAAAAAAGTGAAATGAATAGATAAAAATGCTAAACAGGTTAGGATCCTAGTCATTGTTAGATAAAAGAGGCACCCCATTATTCCTCTTGACTGAGAGCATTTCCTCTTTGGGTGAATGGTTGTTGTTGCTGAAACCTCTTTGTCCATGATGGAGGCTGTCGGTCTTGAGAAACAAGATATTTTGTTTCAAAGCTTCATGTAATTTAAGAAACAAGGCAGCAAACAGGCTAAAATAGACAAAATTACAATTAAAGCTTATTATTATAGCTGCATTTTAAATGCCTGGATTTTTTTAAAAGGCAGTAAACCAGTTTAAAAAGGTCAAAACTGCAGCAGCACATTGAGCAAACTTACCAATGCATCTGGGCTTGTGGCCTTCATCGGGGTCTGTTAAAAGCAAATAAAGAGCATTTAATTAGGGTCGATGTGAAGCAAAAAGTTTGTAAAAATGTAAAATAATGGTTCATATACAAACACATACACGTCAGTTATCAGACACACCATCTGACTTTTTGCTAATTTGAGAATGTCCAATACATTAGACTGTGGCTGCCAGTGTCTCTAGCTTAATGTTTCTAACTATGGAGTCTCCAGTTACCAGAGTTGTTTTCTCAGCGGGTGTGTCACTGAGTGGGGAAAATCGATTTGAAATGTGAAAAGGCAGGTGATGAACCGTGGGTATTCGTTTCGAGCTACGACTCTTGCGAACTGTCACCCAGCCACCTGGCTGAGGTGCCGGCTGCTTGGGAAGCTCATTTGGGGGCATCTAGCTTGGGCTGAGCAACATCTAGGAGGCCCCACACTGGCTACATGGGCCTGGCTATCTGGGCTGTTTTCCACGGTGCAGAGCCACGCTTCCAATTCAGTTAGCCTCACCTCCAATGCTGCTAGCACCTGACATTTATTACAAATACCAATATCGCTAAAGGAGGCAGAGAAATAACTGAACATGCGACACTCCGAGCAAGCGAAAAGAAGAGGGGGAAGCCATTGCTCTCAACTAAGCTAATAGCTTTGCTAGCTTCTAAGCTAGCCAACCTAAAGTAGCAAGTTAAATTTGGTAATTAGCAAAAACTTCTGTAACACACATGCTAAGTAGTGCAGGCGTATGTTGTCACTCAAACAATTCAGACAAACCTAGAAAATAGTGAGCCTAATTCCTAAACAATGTGGAAGCAAGCACAACACTGTGAAGGCACAGAAAACAGGAAGTGAGTACGGTTACCACAGGAACAGGAAACAGTCTGTCAAAGGTTCCTCCCACATGTTATCCAGCCCCAGGGGTTTGTTTTGCCCATTTAAACAGGAAGGGTTTTTTTTTTTTTTTTTTTTTTTTTTACAAAAATTTTTACAAAGTATATTGTGTTGTATTGTCTCTGTAGACAGACTTGCGCTCTGTTATGGCTGCTGGAGGGTGTTGAGTCAGTCAGCTGGTGTAACATGTTACAACCAGTGGACTTAAGAGGTCACCAAGTCATTATATTTTAAAATCTAGCAGAAATATGCAGCAGAAAGAAAAATGTGAGGCATTTGAAGAAAACGAGTCTAAATAACACAGAATATTTCTGCCTGGTTTAGTATACACAGTAGGTGATTTTTTTTCCCATTTGGAACCTGACATAACGACATAAAACAAGAAGTTTTTTTTTCCTTTTTTGTTTGCATAGTGCCAAATCACAACAAAGGTCATCTCTGGACACTTTATATAATATATTACTATTATTATAGAGGATAAATATTTGCCACAACTGAACTAACATTAATGTTTTTGCAAAAAGACAATAAAACAGTTTTCTAGACTGTACATGTCTCATAAAAGCATTAAATTGGTATAAGGTATTTTTCAGCCTTCCAGCTCCCTATCTTTTGTTGTTTCGAGAGGAACACAATGCATCTCCCCGTACTGACAAGTGCATATGCAGCGCTGCACAAATATGCACACATGCACACACAGAGCCCAATGTACTGAGTCCAGCTGTCTCCGTCTCTGCCATTACTGTAAGAGAATACCCCCGGCCGGCGCTCCAACCCACTCCATCAATCTCTCTCTGTTTGACAGAAACTATGCCCACCTGTTCTCCCACAGTTCGCACACTGGGACTCGGGCTGAAGCTCAACGCACGACTTCAGGCTTCAGGTTTGGGTTGATGGAGACAGAATGGGTTCAGAGTCACATGGCATAGAACTATCTTAGTGTCTTAAAGTGTAAAAAGATTAAGTGTAAATTTCAGATACGACCTTCAGAGATTAACTTATTTATGGACATGCTTCCAATTTGGGAGACTATACTCCTCCACTGCACTTTCGAGGAAACTACTACACTGTTTTCTCATCTACACCAGACAGCTGCAGTTATTGCTTTTTGAGTAAGATTATTATTAGGATAATCAATATGATATTAAAATAGCTATTGTCAGGAATAAATCTACAAATAACATCTTGGCAGCAGCATTTTATAGAAACCAGAGCATATAACCATTCAACTGATGAGAAGGTTCTGCAGTTAATATTATACCTGAAAAATGTCAACGTGCTGGGAATGTAGCAGTAAATTCCAATCAAATATTTAAGGAAAAGAAAATATAATGTGTAGAATGTGTCCTCAGAATTGTATTACTTAACTTTGAGAAGCCATTCTACGAGATGTATTTTTTTACTTTTGATATTAAATACAATTTATACTAACACTTGGTAATATATCATTTTAGTAGTTAAATTAAGACTAAATTTAGTTTCATTAAAATTTTGCATGCCAAACCTACATTAAAGGATATTTATGCCACTTGAGTGCAGTAGAAATAAGCTGTTAACATTTACTGTGCATCGCCTTGTAAAGCTGATGTTTGCAAAAGTTGCCTATTTATACACCCTGAAGACACGAAGCAACAAGCGTTCATTTAGTTTTGTTCCTCTCCACCCTCCACCTCCTAGCTGCTAAATGTTCCATTGAGTTCACCAGCTAGGTGTTATCGGTGTCTGTCTGTTGTTCCCTGCCTAACAGGTCGTGTGCAGTGAGCGTCTGGACATCATTCATTTTATTTGTTATGTGTCAGGAGGGGCAGACTGCACCTACCAGTCATCCAGACTGCCTATTACTGAAAAACTTGGAGTGGCTGTAGTAATTGAGTCCCAAATCACAATCTTTCTCTAAAACTAACCATGTTGTTCCATGTTTAATCACTAACCAAGTTGATGAGGTGCATGATAACAGCCTACTGAGCTGACTAGAAGGTGTGGGGCTATGATGACAGCCTTTGTGACATTCGAAGCAGATGGTGAAACCCCACATGATCTCCTGCTGCTGTCCACTCGTATCAATGCTCCCCAGCTTCACCGTTATACTGATGTTACTGACCCACTCTTACTGTGACTGTCCCTATTAAATGTACAGTATGTCCTGTATAGTGTAGTAGACTCGGTTAGTAAAACCTCTGCTACATACAACATCTGCAGCTCAGGCAGCATCACTGTCCTTGAGCTGGACTAACTTGAGTTCCTGCTGCACCTCAACTGTTGCTGTGTTTTAAGACACAAGGCATCAGGTTACTCTGCTCAGGCGCTCAGTTTGTTTTGTCATGGCAGAGAGGTGCCATACAAACATTCTTCATCCCAGCACGGGGAGAGACGCTACACTGGTTTGCATGTTAAGATCCCATATGTAACATTATGTATCCACACTCAAATACAGTATGTTTTTACTCTCATTTTAGCACAAAATCTTTATGTACAGTAGAAGATGATGGGACTGAATTAAACAAAATCACTCTTCAGTTGTATTCAGAGGACGCAAGGCCAGTTATTTCCATCAGGTTGAGGCTGACATCACAGCAGACGCTTTCACTTGTGTGACAAATGCTTCACTGTTCTCTTTGAGCGTCACAGTAAGCAGTGAGGGTCTGAAGGTGGGCCAACATGCACAATACAAGAACACAAACTGTAGCAGTTAAATGCAGATAAAAACAACAGAGGAATGGATGAGAGCAACAGGCTCCTGATCAAACAAATCTCAGGTTAACAAGGTGAATCTAATCATTATTCAAAATGGTTTCAGTGATGGAAGTAATTTCAGTCATGCACCACTGGAGATAGAAAAGCATCTGTGTGCTTGAACGCTTTTCCCCCCACTCTTCCTTCTTGCACCTGAGAGCTGCTGCATGAAACTAACTAGTTCAGATGTAAAGCAGTTTAAGTTGGACTCTAGTGTGTTCCAAAACGTGATCTCAAAATCTGTATTTCAATAAAAAAAAGTCTGTTTTTACACTCAAGCCTGGACTACTGCACCTTTAAATGTCTTCAAAATGAAAGTCGTTTAATTCCTAACCCAAATTGTCCTTGTAGGTTCTGAGATTTGCAGAATTTGAACCAAAGATCCTCTGAACTCCAGCCTCTAGACTACTGCTGTCCCTGTCCAAGCCAAAGAATACTCCTGACAAGAGACTAAATCCATTTGAACTACTTCTTTTAGTAAACCTTTTTTTCTTGTCACCTGTCCAACCAGATTTGTGCATCTTCACACCTCACCAATCACTCTTCATCCCCTCCTCTTTCTTCTGTTCTCTACTTGTTAGGTCCTCAGCTCTATTAACGCACACACGCACACACACACACACACACGACCCTGAGGCCCAGCAGTGCTTGCTAATGCTTGTGGGACCGAGGCAGGAAATAGAGGGGTGGTGGGGGAGATGGAGGGTTATGGAGGAAGGGGGTTCAAGGTGGGTTTGCTCTCAGGTTACCTGTCCAGGTCAGTCTGTTTGTTTAGCATTACCTCCCAGTAGCGTAGAGGTCCAGGCCGAGACGCGGAGAGCTCTCTGTTCAAGTGTGGCTGTGAGGTGCCGTTGACATCTGGAAGAGGCGATACTTAATCCGACTACTGTAGAAGACTCCGTAGATCCTCCTCTCGCACACACATTTGTACTTCTATTTTTGCAAGGACACTCACACACATCCCAAGCCTTTACTTTCCCCCATCACAACTAAATACCCAACCCCAGCCTTAACCTACAGTATTTCTACCTTAACCCTAAAACCCAAGTTTAAACCCTTAAATAGCCATTTAAATGTGAGGACCGGCTAAAATATCTTTAGTCCCAAGGCAGAAAAACTAACTGGTCCTCACAAAAATAGCTATACAAGTACACACACATTCCTTAGGCCAGTAGTGGACTAACAGTTTGGCTTGGATCTACGTTTGTGACATATTCTCTTGCTTCAGAAAATAACCCTGCAGTTGGGGCGGTCGCAGTGGACCAGGCATCTGCCTTATTAAATATAAAACTACAGCAACTGATGGGATCTCTCTATCGTCCCAATTAAGACTTGTCACTGTAATGTTGGCAGAGATTCAGGCGCAGGAGGCCAAGCATTCACTGGCCCTGAGAAACATACAGACAGCTGAGCTGGGAGGCGACCGGCTGGCCGCTTGTAGTACGTTGAGGTGAACTTGGAAAGATTTGGGAGAAAAATGCTGGTTTGTTCTGCTACTGCCTAATATGAGGAAACACTCCATAACTTGTACTATCTGACCTGATGGCAGAAAAAACACACTGCTGCTCTCAATGACCTTTAAGTTATAAGGATGCTTCTGCTCTGATTGGTGCCACACTTATGTTAAAATGTCATATTTTAATATTAAGTCATTTTCTTTCATTGTCAGTTTCTGGATGACCACAAACCTGTGGAGATCCTACAGAACCCAGTTTCTCCTCCTCTTTGGTTTCCTCTCACTTTTCTACGTTAACTTACAACTTCGGTCCTGCAGGAATAAGATACGATCCTAAAACTTGTAATGTGTGTGAAAACAATGTAACCTGCATTGTAACACAAGAAGCATTTACATGGTGTGTCCGAATCCAAAGGGATCACTTGCAGTCAGAACAAATTACCAGCCCTGCAGCTCTTAGTTTTTTCTTTTAACTCACTGTTTTGTTTTTACACCACATTATATGAATCAGACTCGTCAACTGGCGTCCAGCAGCAGAAGGCAGCTGTTTTCAGCCAAAACTCTGCTCTACAACCAGTGGTAATGCGACACGTTTGGGCATGCTCTGGTCTTTTCTGGGAAGCTGTGTTGGGAGGGAGAGTCATTACAATTAATTTCAAGACTTATCACAGAATTCCTCTGGAACTCATCGGTCATCACAGGATAATAAATATTTTTGTTAAGGGACACAAGTGTCAAAATTAATGTCAGTAGAAAAACATTTTATTGGATTTGTTGCTGGTTAAAAATCAACCAATGTACCTAAAAAACAACAGGGAGAGGAGGAAAAAAAACAACTAAAAGGTTTAT